TTTTTTTTTTTTTTTTTTTTTTTTTTTTTTTTTTTTTTCTATTAACATTGTAGGTCAAGGACACTGATGCATATGAGGCTGTTGCCTCAAATATTTCTGGTTCCACCCCTAAAGATTTGTTTGAGGATGTTGCAGAAGAATTGGAGAAAAAGGTATCTACGTAGACATGATTATTTTGATAATTTTTCGGGAAGATACCTGTTTTGAACAATGTCGCCAAATTCCTACACGGTGTTTCGGGAGACAAAGGGCTTCATTTGCAGTGGAAAGAACCTTCTATTCTAGAAGGGTTGGCAGCCAAACTTGTTTACTTTTAGCATCAAAATTAAAGTGGCAGATCAATTTCCTTAACTTTAGCTCATTGATCAGTTTATAGTATATATTATATTAAAATTTATTTTTTGTTTGAGTGGTGAGGATGCAGGGTGGACAGTTTTATGCATCTATTATGTGGTAGTTGTTAATAGCCCAGTATATTCACTTAACAAAATCGTGCAACTAATTCGTTTTGGCTTATCCGTTGTGATATGTCGAATGATAATATATTCTTTACAAATGTTATTATTTATGTCGATATGATACAACATTTAATGCTTTAGCTCTCTCTCCCTCTCTGTCTATCTCTCTCTCTTTTTTTCTCTCTTTCTCGTTTTACATATGCAATTTTGAGATGAGAAATAGCTGGTGAATGGCTTTATAAATTCCTCTGACATGCTCTCATTGTATGATAGTACGACGAAGACAAAGCACACATAAAGGATGCTTTGAAGCAGGAAAAGGTAGGATTCTCCGACTTATAATTTCCTTCGTTGAAACTTAGATTTTTTGCATTTTAAACCTAAATGTGTTCTATATTTTTGTTCTTAGATTACAGTTGCACCAACGTGGAACTTTGAAGACTTCAAGTCTTCAATTGAAGAGATCGTTGGCAGCCTCTCGATATCTGATATCAATTTGCAGGTATTAGTTATTATACTCGCTTTCCTAAACAGTGGTGTCTTAGGTTTGCTTTAGATGCATGTGGAATTGTTCTCGAACTTTATCTTTGAAAAATATCAAAAGCAGTATAGATGGATCATGAGTTACTACTTCTCCTGTATGCTAAAGCACATGCCTTTTGGAAATTGTTTTCCTGGTGAGGTCATGTTGAAATTGAAAGAGTAAATGTTAGATTATAAGCTCTTTTAGTAGTTTCAAGCTTAAGCGTGGGACCAAAAAGTTCTGGCCTTCCTTCCTACTATCTACGGTGCTTATCCCCACTATGTGATCATGGTGCCTGCTTGGTTGTCCTTATTTACTCTGGGGTCCTGTACTCTAGCAGTAGATGCTAGAAAAATCTATAAGTTGGCAGTTGCATTACTATTCCTCAGTCATGTTTTGGGGTGATTTTGCAGCTTGTATATGAGGATCTAATTGATCGTGCTAAAGAGAAACAAGAGAAAGAGGCGAAGAAGCGTAAACGTCTGGCCAAGGATTTCACTGATAAACTGAGCACCATTAAGGTATGAGGATGAAGAATAATTAACTCCTATTCATGTTTGTCGCTGAAGTGCTCTTAAGAAAAATGTGTTCACTTCATTCAGGAAATAACTGTTATGTCTACTTGGGATGAATGCAAAGAACTTGTGGAGGATAGTTCAGAGTACAGGTAAAAAAAAATTCCATTTGCAGAAAGACATCGATTGTGATCAATTTTCCAAATTGTTATTATCCAGTATACTGGAAGTTCTTTCCAATGACCCTTCTGATTTTTTTTCCTAGGTCCTTAGGAGATGAAAGCTTGTGCAGGGAGATATTTGATGAATATATATCTCGCTTACAAGAGAAAGCAAAGGAAAAGGATCGCAAGCGGGAGGATGAAAAGGTCAGCCACCCAAAAAGGAAAAAAAAAAAACTTCATATGATACTATATTCTGTAGTATCATAGCGCTGACTATTAGTTATCATTATATAATCTTCACATCATTATCTTGTCCAAATGGTTCTGCAAGAGTTTCAATCACTTTGTTCCTAATGATATTCTTCTTTTGCAGGCCAAAAAGGAGAAAGAGCGAGAGGAAAAAGAAAAGAGAAAGGACAAAGATAGAAGAGAGAAAGAGAAGGACAGAGACAGGGACTGGGACCGTGAGAGGGAGAAGAAAGATGGTTCAAGAAAGGTCGAAGATGTCGATAATACGGATAATTTGGAAAGTTATGGCCACAAAGACGAGAAAAGAAGGGAAAAGGACCGAGACAGAAAACATAGGAAGCGCCGTCAGAGCTCGGTTGATGATGCGAGTTCTGACAGAGATGACAAAGAGGAGACCAAAAAGTCCAGACGACATGGCAGTGACCGTAAAAAGTCAAGAAAGGTACTTCCAATCATGATTTACTAAGTTATTGTCCTCTGTGAGAAGTAATCATGAATGCATACCCCTCTTTGAGTTTTTTTTACCTGGTTACTAGAAATTCTAAGCATCTTTCAAAATTATAAATACCCTTAATCACACCCGGATAGGGACGGCAATTCCGGCCCTGGTCGCCATGTTTGGGTCGCCATGCCCTGCTGGCAGATTTATGGTACCGCATCTGTTCAATAATATAAATTTTATGCGCTTAATAATTATATGCAGCATTTACTTTTCACCAATTAATAAATGTGTGTGTGTGTTGGTGGTGGGGGGTTGGCATTTGTAGATTTTTAATAGCGCGTTTAAATGTTATGCATTAGTTACAAAATTTTTAACTTAACTTTTGTTTTTTGGTACACAAGTAACAAAGTTCCATTCTAACTTAGGTGCCTCGTCACCATCCTCACATGTCCCATAAAGTTTAAGCAGTCAACAGTTCCCCCTAATTTTTCGGTGCAGTGTGTAAAATAGATTTTTTCTCTCGTAAAAAATAATCTCTCCTTTGGTCAATCGGATCAACTCAAATAATTTGACGTCTCTTTTTCCCCTTTCTCCTTTTCAGCATGTATGTTCTCCTGAATCAGATAGCGACAGTAAGCACAAACGACACAAAAGGGACCACCGAAAAAGTGGTGGTCATGAGGAGCTCGAAGATGGTGAGCTTGGTGAAGATGGTGAGATCCAATAGGTGTGTTTTTTTCCCTCTTCATCGATATATGTTGGTCCAAATAACTTGTTTACTGTTTCGGATCTCTCTGCTATGAATGCGGTCTCTAGACTTGAATACACTTTACCTAAAGTACTGAGATTTCTGATGGTGGTGTATTTATTCAGTGTTTTGAGGTTGAAAGCAATCATGATAATAATACCCCTTAAGAATGCCTTTCTTTATTTGGTGAAAGAAAAAGAAATGGTGAATTTAAATTCCTTGAAGTTGAAGATGATGTTTTAAAGGTAACCCATCGTTTTCTATATTTGTTAATAATGCTTAGTTAGGATAAGAAAGTACTCCCCACTAAGGTTTGGTACAGAATATTAGATGAGGTTTGAATTTTTGAGGCAACTTTTTTGTGCTTAAAGTGGGGTTGATATTTTTCTCTTTTATTTGTTGATGATTTTGAATGTTATTCTGTGTTTCACGCATGTTAATTTATTAATTTATTGGCTGGACTAACGATTCAACACGTATTTAATTTATTAATATTTTTAAATTTATGTAATATTTTTATATATATATATTATATTATCTACATATATTTGAATATTTTGATTACTTGAAACATTCAAAAGTCTAAGCTAGTTTATAAATAATTTATACAGATCCAACTTTTTAAGTATGCATTTTCTTTATATTGAAAATATTTTTAAGAATATTAATAATATAACAGAAGTTGGAAAAATATCCAATTTATAGCCCCATAGATAATGGTCCTTTACGTATTGAGGCTTTTATAAATATAAATATTTGTAATTTGAATGCCCTGATTAGTGTGGTAACGAACCGAATCGAGTTTGGGCTGTTCGAGCTCGTGTTCGTTTACGTTCGAACAGTGTTCGTATTCACTTGTTTATTTTTTGAGCAGAAAAATTGTGTTCGAGTTCGTTTGTTTAATTATTCGTCAAAGTTCGAGTTTGTTCGTGTTTGAATAATTTAATACATAAACTTTTTAAATATGTTCGATGAACTCGAAATTTGCTCGTTCGAACTCGAAAATAAAAGAGTAAAATAAAATATTATTATATTTAAGATTTTTTTATAAAAAAATATAATGTTAATATCTAAAAAATAAATAAATTTTATTAAATTCTAGATTTTTTATTAAAATAATATGTAAGTATATAAAAAATAAAATAAAATAATATTAAATCAATGTTCACGACGTTCACGAACGAGCTCGCGTTTGTTCAATTATTAAACGAGTTTAATTTTTTGTTCGAACTCGGCTCGATTAACAAATGAATGAGCTTTTATCGAACACGAACGAGCTCGAACGAGTTTTTGTTCGCGAACGTTCGGTTCATTTACAGCTCTAGCCTTGATAAGGCTTTTTATAATATTTCTATTTAAATTACAAACACGTTGTATCTAACTAGTGAGAATCCCGTGCGATGCACGGGGATTTCGTAAAAAAAAAATAATATTTTTGCAAAATTTTAATTTAACAATGTATTAGCTCGTTGATTCGTTTATATTAATATAATATTTTTTTAACATATATATGTATTTTTTAAACAAAAAATAAATAATTTTACATATTTGGTTCATCATAATACTCAAATATTATTTTATTTATAAAATAATTGTCGTGTAATGTCAATATTATTTATAACATTTATAGAAGTAATATTCCTTTTTTAAATATTGATAAATATTTAATGTAATATTAATATTATTTATTGATGTGATTTTTAAAAATATATAAAGTAAATCTAATGTTTGTTTG